CCTTATGCATAGACTACTACCTTAAATGCATAATAAATCTCTTTCAATCTCACCCCTTTATATGTAATGATTTAATGGATGAGATGAAGCCTCATGATCTCATCCATCTAAGTGACCTCATGGGATCCAGAGCCTATATATATATATATATATATATATATATATATATATATATATATATATATATATATATATATATATATGGTCTCTAGTTGATTGATAAAATATGTGATCAATAAAATAAATAAATAAATAAGGTAGTTACTGGAATGAAATTGGGTTGGTGTTGAGGGCGGGGAAGTGGGAACAATGGATAATGATTGGTGAAATGAAATGTTAATAATTAATGAAACTAAGTGAAGTGTCTACCTACCTTCTTAGCTTAATAATATATATATATGATGAAAACCAAATGTTGTAATGCCTCCCGCACAAGCAATCCTATTGCCTATCTTACCCCTATCTATCCCACATTCCACACTTATCCAATGCTTATTATTATGTACCACCAACCATATTACTATTCATTAAGTACGCAAAATTTTATCACTATTTTCAACCAATATATAAAATCTCAACTCATTCAACCTCAAAAAATAATGACATTGTGAACTTTTGTTATAATGCCTTATGTGTAAACAATTTATATAATATATAGAAAGATTTTAAAATAAGCAATTACACATGCATGATACAATCAAAAGTGAAAAAAAAAACAAACAAAAAACAAAAACAAAAACAAAACAAAAACAAAAACAAAAACAAAAACAAAAAGCAAAAACAAAAAATATAGAGACAATTCCATAGTTATAATATTAAATTAATAGTTTTGAAATTCGTGGACTACAATTAACAACACTAATAGTCATAGGATCAAAGTGAAATTTCTCAAATGTAAATAACAAACTTGATTGGTGTGGGTGATCATACACTCTCATCACTTCAGAGAAGTCAGTGATTCAAAACTCCCTCGCTCTCATATAAAAAATCAATATGACTAGCACTTTGATCTAACCAAATAATAATAAAATAATGTATTTGTTACGTGCACAGTACAATAATATTTTGTTGATTTGCGTTTGAAAACTAAATTCAAACAACTAACTTAGATGATGACATTCGGTTTCCACATTATCACAAGTAATTTACAAAGGTTTTTTTGACAAATTTTAAAATATTTGGGAATCATAATAATAAAATAGTATTGTAGATGAGGATTAGTTACGTTGCTGTCAGTTGAGGTTCGCATATATATAGGATGGCTTACCACCCTCATACCTAATGCCACAGATATGTCATTACTATAATCAATATCAAATTGACAGCTTATCCAACACCAACAACCTCACAACACCCCCTGCCCTGCTTAATTTACTTATATATATTATATAAAAAATAATAAATACTATTTGAAATTTTTAAACTCAAATTAATTTATTACACCCTCCCTTCTGTTCTATTTTATGTGTATGATTTAATTAACGAGTCTTGATTAAAGTTATTTTGAATTTAATTTTTTCAAAGTATTAAATTTAATATTAATATATAATAAAATGTATATATTTAAAAAGTACATTGAAACTCAAAAGTACTATAAAACACACACACAAAAATTAAATTTAAAAATAATTAAAATATACTAAAAAATACAAAGAAGAAATAATGTGTTTGACCAATAAATAGTAAAATGAGACAAAGATATTACATAATAATAATAAAATGGGAAAATGCAATTAGTTTATCAATTGTTCCTTGCTAGCGGTTTAGTCCCTAACTTTTTACCATTGCAATATAAATCTATAATTCTCTTTTAAAAAATTGCATTTCTAACTCATGGAGTAACAAAACTACTAAACTCTATTAAAAATGTACTTAGTATATGGATATTTTAAAATTTTTATTATCTTTGTTCTTTATAATAATAACATTGTTAATTTTGATTTTTCATATGCAAAATAGAGAATTGACAACCTTCTTTTCTAAATGTTTCTTTTTCAATTGTGACACATCGTCCCTATTTCCATACACAGCCTTGTTAAATTAAAATATCGAGATTAAACAAGATTAATTATTTAAAAAATAAATATTAAAAAGTACTAAAATACACATGTACTAAGTAAAATTTTAATAGTATTTAGTAATTTTGTTGCTGCAACGGTTAAAATTATAATATTTTTAAAGAGTTAGGGATATATACTGTAATGATAAAAAGTCGAAGACTAAAACAACTAGTAATGAACTATTGATAAGAGATTGATAGATCAAAATTGCATTTTTTCCAAACAAATTAAAAATAAGTATACTTTATTATAGATCAAACTATTCTTTAAACTCTATAAGGAACCCAACATAGTATCATATGTATAGTAATTATTAAATGAGTAAATACCCAAAATGGTCCCTCGACTATAACTAAATTCACAAATTGGTCATCGACTTCCAATTTCAACCAATTAAGTCCTTAACTTTGTAATTTTAACACAATTTGGTCCTCTGTTTATTTGATCGTTTGTTGACTGTGATTTTTGAGGATATATATGTAATTTCATGGTCCATCATCGGTTTTTTAAGATTCCGGTTGCATTTCGAAACCGCACTGTTACATTCGAATCCACTGCCGAAAGTAATCTACCAAATCCGGTCGCCTTTCTTCATCCTCCCTTTGGATTCAATGTAGTTGAGTTCGTACCAGAGCGAAGAAGACGACGTGTTTCCGAACCGGTGCAACGTCATCCTGGAGGCCTCCACGTGCTCCGACGAGAGCTGAAGGTTCTTCTGGAGATCATCGATCACGGTCAACAAACGGTCAAATAGATGGAGGACCAAATCGTGTCAAAATTGCAAAGTTAAGGACTTAATTGGTTGAAATTGAAGGTTAAGGACCAATTTGTGAATTTAGCTATAGTCGATGGGTCATTTTGGGTATTTACTCTTATTAAATTAAGTCATCATCCTTGATCATGTAATTAATACCTCTTTTGACCTTTGCAGCTTTGATGTATGCTATTTCACGTTGTATGTGCTGCCAACGTAACTCTGAATGTAGGAAATTCAATATTTTTATATATGTCTAATCACTAATGCATGTCACAGTTACAGAGATTTTTTTCTTCTTTTCTGTAAGATTGTAACCGTAACGCTCAACACAATTTTGTTTAGATTTCGTGAATCTAAATAATAATAATAATAATAATAATAATTATTATTATTATTATTATTATTATTATTATTATTATTATTATTATTATTCTTATTATTATTATTATTATTATTATTATTATTATTATTGGATGAATAATGACATAATATTAATTTGTTACAAATTATTGTATTATCACAGACATTGAATATTTATTATATTTTTTATTTAGTAAAATTGTAGTCTCCTTTTGTAATATTTGTATAAGAAGTAATGATACTCCAACAATTATCAGTATCACTATATAATATGACACTTTTTTGTATGATTAAATTTTCATTTTTATTTTAAACTTTCGTTTAATTTTACATGAATTGATATAAGAGTGATTTTTATAACAGCGTAAGAACATGAATTTGACAAATTGTAGAAAGCATCAATTTTTTTGAATCATTCAACAGCACAGGCAGGCCGGCATTCACCCCTGCTAGCTACTGCCTCACGAGTCATTCCTCTACAATAAACGTAATTCAAACAATATGTTATATTTTCACAAACTAATTAATTTATTACTTGTATTTTTTTCAAGCTAAAATATATAGTTTTTTTTATAAGCATGTATACATATATAAATACAAAAATTTGGTGAGGCCGGCCCGACTTACCCTTAACCCCCAAGTTCTATCATATCCCATCCAACAACAATATAATGGCTTCATTACTTGGCAGTTAGTGATCAATATTATTATTATTCATTAGTTAAGTTTTTAAATTATACGAAGTTGACTATTATATCATTACGTACTCGATGTGAATAATTAATGATAATTGACTTTATATAGTTGGTTTTTTAAGGAATAATTTATGCCATAAATACATATCGATTTTAATTTGGGTAAATATTAATTTTAATCCATAAAAATAAAAGATATAGGATTGAAATCTATTTAAAATTGTTAAAATATAAGTACATTATGTTTATAGAGCACACCTTGGAGCTCCCGCTGATGGAAGGGTTATCCCCCCCTCCCCATCATTCCTTTTTTCGGATACATTTGTTAAAAATTTTAAAAAGATTTCAATCTCATAAGTCTTGAAATTTAAAATTAGTGTAGTGTAAATTGTGAAACTTAATATATCAAATAAATTTATAATACTCTTTGACGAATTTTCCAATGTAAATATTCTCTTTTAACTCATTTGTCCTATATACAAACCAAATGATTTATCATAAACTGATACGTGTAATATTAAAATATCTTAAACGAACAAAAATTATTATAATCTCAAAAAAAATACTATAATTGGATTTAAAATCATAATTATCTTTTAATACCATACGTGACGTACAATTATTATTTCTTGTCCCCATCATATCTTATTTGTTTAAAAATTTCAAACATTAGTACTCAAAAAAAAAGAAAAAAATCTAAAACATAAAAATTTATTTTATTTAAATGTATGTAGGAGAGAATACGATAAACGTGACACCAACACTTACACCTGGTGTTGACTGTTAGGATTATATATTTATAGTGACAAAAAATTTGAAAAAAAAACAGACACACACAGTAAGGGTGGTTGTTGTTGTTGTCCTAGTACTAAGGCAGTCATCCTGTAAAAGGGAAAACCTTGTCTTGGTCACGAAGCCATAAAAATCGTTCATCTTGTTTTTTATCTGCTGCTTCGCTGCTGTTTTGTGTTTTGACACCTTCCGGCCTGGGCCTGCCTAAAATCCTTTTCTCTCTTCTTCTTCTTCTTCTTTAATTTCTCTCTCTTACATATATATATATATATATATATACATTTATTGCCCTCTCTCTCTCTCTCTCATTACCTATTTAGCGCAGCTAACTAATGATGATGATGAAGAGGAGAAAGCAACAACGCGATGAGCTGTTTATCGGGCTCCAATGCTTGCTTTTACGCCGGCGTCGCCGCCTTCACCACTCCCTTCCGCTTTTCTCCGCCTTATCCGCTTCCATTCTCTTCCTTTTTGCTCTTATCTCTTTTGTTTCTCCTCCCACCGCCACCAACCGCCGCCGCCTCACCCAGCACCATGCCAACCTCGCCTCGGGATTGGTACTCATTATTATTATTATTATCTCCTGATTGCCGTGTTTTGGAATGGAAATTCACTGCTTCTCTTTTGTTTGTGAAGTTCAATAACGGAACGGAGGAGTTTGAGATGAATGTGGAAAAAGAGACCGACTTTCCAATTCCGGTGAGCGTTACGTTACAGACAAAAGTCAGGTGTAATGTATGTAGCAGATAGATGAGTTGGCAGATTTTGTGTCACGTTATTTCCTTTATTTTTCATCAACTTAATTCATTTCTTGTATGTGAAATGTGAAATGTGAAATGTGAAATGTGCAGACCAACGGGGGGAGCTTAAGTCCACACCTTTGGAGGTGTAAGCACTCCAAATTCTATTACGGCTGCAGTAATTCCAGCATTAACTTTCCAAGTATGTAATTCCCCATTCCTTCTTCTCCTTTAGTTACTCATGATGATGATACGTAAAGATTTAAAATTTAAATAAAGAAAAAAAGGAAATGCTAGCTAGCTGATCCGGGAATGATTAGTCCATAGGAGTGAGATTGGTGTTTGAATGAATTGGTCTGATTTGGGTTTCATTTGCTGCTGCAGCCGCTGGGTTTAATACACTTCCAAATCGTTATTTGTTGATTGCCACCAGTGGAGGCTTGAATCAACAGAGAACAGGGGTGGGTACTAGTACCTACTACTTATATATATATTTTTCTCCTCTAATTTCCACTTCACCAATTATGTGTTTGTTCTTCATTATATTATATTGCTGCAGATTATAGATGGTGTTGTAGCTGCCCATATTTTAAATGCAGCCTTTGTTGTCCCAAAACTGGACCACAAGTCTTTCTGGAAAGATTCCAGGTCTGTTTCACTTTTTTTTTTTTTTTTTTTTGCTATATATAAGCTATGTAATGTAATTAATTAGGGGTACTAATACTATGTTTCATTTGACTCTTTTACTTGGGTCATCATTTTCCATCTGCAGCAACTTCTCTGAAATCTTTGATGTTGATTGGTTTATATCTTCTCTCTCAAATGATGTTAAAGTCGTTAAGGAGCTCCCAATGAATGGAGGAAAAACCATCACCCCATATTCAACTAGTGTTCCAAGGAAGTGCAACGAAATGTGTTATCAAACTCGTATCTTGCCTCTTCTCGTCAAAAAACATGTGAGTACAGTTTTTTTTTCTTCCTATATTTACTCAAACACTGCCCTTTCTAACGTGTTTGCTTGCTTATATGTTGAACTTCAACTGTACAAAATCACATTATATATAGACAACTCCTGCTAGATTACACGGTGATCCTGTGTTTTTGGTGCTGATAATATAATGGTGGAGTCTTCTGTCTTCATGTTTTATGAAACAAGTTATCACCCTCGTTCCTCTGAGGATATTTGCAAAATAAAACTCTCAACTTGGAAAAATCCATCTGATTATCATCCTTGGAAAGATACTGAAATGGTACCAAAGTTTCTAGTGCACTGTGCACAACTACTTTGTCAACACATCCAATTTTGTCTATGCTACATAATGATGCTTTTCTCACGGGTTTCCAAACAACTTTTTGCTTCTCTTATTGAAAGGCACTTTTCTGTCTTCTGGTACAGGCTGTTCGGTTGAGAAAGTTTGATTATAGGCTTTCAAATCAACTGGAGACAGATTTGCAGAAACTAAGATGCAGAGTTAACTATCATGCACTGAAATTCACTGATCCTATTCTTGAAATGGGCAGAAAATTGGTTGAGAGGATGAGAAATAAAAGCAAGCACTTTGTTGCCCTGCATTTGAGGTAAGTAAACACCTATAACAGATCATGTGTTTAAAAAGAATATAGATATAATGGGAGTAACAACATGATGTGCTGTTCCATGGGATAGATTTGAACCTGATATGCTAGCATTCTCGGGATGCTACTATGGTGGAGGAGACAAGGAAAGAAATGACCTAGGGGCTATACGGAAGAGGTGGAAGAGTTTACATGTGAGTTAGTTAGTTTCCAGTGATTTTATGAGCCCCATTCAAGCATGCATCACTTATTGCTAATAACTGGCATATGCATAAATGTAGGCAAGTAATCCAGACAAAGAAAGGAGGCATGGAAAATGCCCACTCACTCCCGAGGAAGTTGGTCTTATGCTGAGAGCTCTAGGTTTTGGTAATGATGTTCATATTTATGTAGCTTCAGGTGAGATATATGGAGGCGAGGAGACGTTGGCCCCCCTCAAGGCTCTATTCCCGAATTTTTACTCCAAAGAGACAATTGCAAGCAAGGAGGAGCTGGAGCCATTTTTGCCATTTTCAGCTCGAATGGCTGCACTAGATTTTATTGTTTGTGATGAGAGTGACGTTTTCGTCACCAATAACAATGGCAACATGGCAAGAATGCTTGCAGGAAGAAGGTAACTAAGCCACCCACCCTTCTTTATGGCTTGAACAACAATTTCAATATATGAAACATTATTTTGAGTTTTCATATATCATACAGGAGATACTTGGGTCACAGACCAACAATCCGTCCAAATTCTAAAAAGCTTTACAGGGTGTTCCAGAATCGAAATAACATGACATGGGAAGCATTTGCCTCGCAAGTTCGAACTAATCAAATCGGTTTCATGGGAGAGCCAATGGAGGTTAAGGCGGGTAGGGGTGAGTTCCATGAAAACCCATCATCCTGCATATGCCAAACATCTGATTCCAAGGCTCAAGAAGAAGATGTAAGTTATGTTAGTGATGACAAGAATACTACTAACACCAGAGAATCATCAGGGAAATTGAGAAATGAGGAAGATGAGCAGGGTTTATCTGATGGTGATTATTTGGAGAGTGTGGCTAGAATTGTTGGGCAGAGAGAATTGCCTAAAGCAGTGGAAACAGATTCTGTTCATCCCTTTAAACCTGATCCGCTAGAACTGGAAGATGATGTGTTCTCGGATTGAGTAGCTACTAGCTAGGGATTGTGAATTAAAAGGAAAAAAGAAAAAAAAAAAAAAATTAAGGTGACTTAGCTAATTAAGTGATTTTTTCCAACATGATTGCTTGAATTGGTGCTAATTGTACATAAACATAGATGGGTAGTTGTAGCAAGCTCCAGGGTCGTATGGAGTTCTGATGATGCAAATTGCAACATATATATAAGTATCTTTTTTTTTTCTTTATTTAAAGATTATTTTTTAAAAAAATTATTTATTAAAAAAAAAAAAAAAGTCGAAGGGTGTCATGGCTATTGATAAGGAATCTCTCTCGCGAGTAGTGCAGTATGATGGTTGGCATTGGGTCGTTTATCTGAGACTGGCATGACCCGACCTCTACCAACCATACTTTTACTTCACCCCGACTGGATGGATTATCGAATGGTAACAATTACTGCGCCTAGGGCTCAGCTGGCCTCGTCACGCACTCGACCTAATCATGTTGGGGGCTAACTACTGACTTGGACCTGACTGGGCAACATTTACCCACATAAACATTACAGCACATGTGTGAGCCCCTTGGGACCTCGGACTGAGCCTGTGCATGGGCTCCACGTGTCCTTCATGCCGCAAGACCAGGTTTTGTCCCCTACCTACTACTATAAATACCGCATTTATTACTAGAAGGGGGACTTTTGGTATTTCCTACTACCTGATCTTGAGCTCAGGGACCTTTGACCCACTGTCACGTAGACCGAACCCAAAGACTTAAATCAACAAGCAGACTAAGTACAGGATCCAAACTCGAAATCGACCTAGGATCGTATACCATATAGTCGATCGTTCGTATATACAATATATCCTTAACAAGGGTAACTAATCGGGTGGCAAAGGCGGTCGGTCGGAAAGTCCAACAGTCGGGTCCGATCGTCTTCTATAAAAATATCCGACCTGTCAAATCTGCACAAAGAACAAGAGAAATCGAGCCATGTCGGTCGGGATATATCCTACCAGACACAAAATTGAAAAGAAAAATCATGATGTAAATAGAAGTGAGTAAAAAGTTGATTTAGAAAATGAGGGGTGGGTTGGGTGCATAGCATTCTATCGTAATCCAAACGGAGGAGGACGTGGCATCTTTCACATCTGTTGTTTTTTCTGTTTTCTCTTTCTCTTCTTCCACCTCCACCACCAATCAACCACCCCCATACTTTCACACCACACTGCTACCTTCCCTCTCTCAAGATCCAGGCGGCAATGGCTTCCACTCTCCACGCCACCCATGCGCTCAAACTCAGTAACACTCACTATCACAAACATTCCGCCTCCTCTGTATCTTTCTTGTCTTGGCGGCGTGCGTTAGCCACCACTGACGATGCCCCACTTTTCCCTACCCATTCTACTACTACCAGCGTTAGAGGTACACTACACTACACTACTCTTCTTTCTTCTTTCCTTTTTCTCATCAATGCCAAGATTCCTCCTTTTGCATACAAGAGTTAACTAATTGTGAGATACAGAATTTTGAAACACGATGATTCATTGTTTCTTTAGGCAGAAATTATAGGGTACCAAGAATTGTATGCAATGCTCAGGCTGTGAATTTGGCTCCGGGCACCCCCGTCCGCCCAACCAGCATACTGGTGGTCGGCGCCACCGGCACCCTGGGAAGACAGGTCGTCAGGAGAGCTCTGGACGAGGGCTATGACGTAAGGTGCCTCGTTAGACCTAGGCCTGCTCCTGCTGACTTTCTCCGTGATTGGGGTGCCACTGTTGTAAATGTCAGTTACTACTTCTTTACTTCTCTATTCATTCATAATATATGCATTGTTAGGATCAATTTCCTTATATATGGCTACCACATTTTCGAGAGGCAGGCTTCCACCCTACAATAATTGCATAGTTCTTGTTGGTACTCGAATTCATGACTCGACTCGGATACCATTTGTTAAGATGAAGGGCTTATCACTATGCCAAAAGTTATTGCTCATGGTGAAAATAAACTTTATTTCCTTATATACTGTCACTATATTTTCGAGAGAAGGGCTGGACTTGACCCTTCACTAGCCTCCGCCCAATTGATTGACTTGGCCCTTTACCACTTCCGCCAAACACATATCAATCAAACATTCCCCTTTTCTCCTCATGTTACACATCTACATTTACATTTAAGCCTTGTTTGGTAAAATAGTTAGCGTATTAGCCAATTTTGACTTATTTGACCAATATTAGATGTTTGACTTGGTTAAACAATCAATATGAGTGTTCAATTAGTTAGCTTTTTGTAACAACTTATTGCTCCAAAACACTAAAATTCAAAAAACTGCTCAAAGCAGGTTTTTCGATAAGTTTTTTGAGAATGTCATTTTGTATATAATCAGCTATCAGCTAACAGCTAATTTACCAAACATCTTTCTATAATCAGCTAATGTTATCAACTAGTCAGATTCACTAACCCAATCAGCTAACAACTATTTACCAAACGCCCCCTTAGTATCCCTGCGTGTTCGTCTCTGTAAGTGCCATCTGCTTTGGGTCTGACCGATTTGTAGGCAGTTGCTGATTTTCAACTTAACCCTGTTTCTAGTGTTCTTGGTTTTGTGTTTCCTAAAGAATCAACCATAAAGTTCCATTATTAATTAAGAGGTGATTATGAGCAGGCAGACTTGAGCAAACCTGAGACAATACCAGCTACATTGGTTGGGATCCATACAGTTATCGACTGTGCTACCGGGCGTCCTGAGGAGCCCATCAAAACTGTAAGCATCCATACTGCTGCACTTATTTTCTTTAAAAAATGGTAATGGGTGTTATCAACGTGTTGCTTAATATACATCCAGGTATGGGATTGACTAGACTTGATGCAATTTTAATGCTTTCGCTGTTGTTATGTTGGTTGGTATTGGCGATATTTAATTTGCCTGTTCATTTTAGGTAGATTGGGAAGGAAAAGTTGCTCTAATACAATGTGCAAAAGCAATGGGCATTCAGAAGTTTATTTTTTACTCCATTCACAATTGTGACAAGCATCCAGAAGTTCCTCTCATGGAGATCAAGTACTGTACAGAGAAGTTTCTTCGAGATTCTGGTCTGAACCACATTATAATCAGATTATGCGGTTTCATGCAGGTGACATGTCAAGCTCATAACTTTTTCTTTTGTAGCAATTTTGAGTGATTTAATTGTTCGAATATGTTATTCACATGTCACCGATAAAAGTTAAGATATCCTTCTCCTGGCTGCCACATATCTCTTTTCTGCCTCGTGTTTATTCTATTTATTATGCAGTCATATTAACTGTAGGCATTCTAAGTTCTCACTTCTCATGCAACCTTTTTCAGGGCTTGATTGGACAATATGCAGTACCTATATTAGAAGAGAAATCTGTGTGGGGAACCGATGCTCCTACTCGAATAGCATACATGGACACCCAAGTATTTGTTTCTTCCACATAGCATCGACTTATATGCATTAATTTCCTAAACTGCATTCTCTTTGTTTTCTAGGATATTGCTCGATTGACATTCATAGCTTTGCGCAACGAGAATATCAACGGAAAGCTTTTAACCTTTGCCGGGCCCCGAGCATGGACAACCCAAGAGGTAAAGAGGGTTTTCTTGAGCACCCTATATTAGATTTCTAAAAGCCGTTTCCATCTGTTGCTTTTATAGAACTGCCTGCCTCTGAATAAGTTCTCCGTTATGATATAGATCAGCCACTGAAATATAGATCAAGATTTTGGTTAATTGTATTGTGTTCCAGGCGAGTTGATGCAAACAGCTTGTTGTGAATATACAGGTGATAACATTGTGTGAGAGGCTTGCTGGGCAAGATGCGAATGTGACTACAGTTCCTGTTTCAATTTTGCGTTTGACACGCCAGCTGACTCGTTTGTTTGAGTGGACAAATGACGTGGCTGACAGATTGGCATTTTCAGAGGTACGTAGTCATAACATATTACTATATAGTGAATGAAGTTTGTATTACCCATCAAGCCTGCCCACTAGGCACTAGCTAGCTAATGTTGTGTGTTGGGGACATTTTCAGGTTTTGACAAGCGATATTGTTTTTTCTGTTCCAATGGCGGAGACGTATAGTACTCTGGGTGTGGAAGCAAAAGATGTAATTACACTAGAGAAATACCTACAGGATTATTTTACAAACATATTGAAGAAGTTGAAGGACATTAAAGCACAATCCAAGCAGACAGACATTTACTTCTGAGAAGATGATGATGATGATCCAGTATAGTATTATAATTGTAAATGACGAGATTTACTTCCTTCCAAGTTTGAGCCTTTTAATTTCATCTGCTGCTATATATATATACTTGATTGTTTTCAAGCTAAGTATAGTTTTTAGTTTGGGGATTGTATTGTTAACTTAACTAACTCAAAGTTGAGTAATAATATTAAACATACAAAGCGCGAGTACGTGTAGTGCCAGATGAAAGATCCAATTGGAATGGAAGTTGGTTGAATGTTACATCTATCTTTGGGGGAATAGATATTGATTGTGAAAGGTGTGATGTTGATTGATGGGTCAGTTTATTGTAATTAATAGATCCCAAATTTTACTCTCTAATTTAGCATAAGTTTTTTTTTTTTTTTTTTTTTTTTATATATGGGTCTCAATACAAGTGTCTAATTTTGTGTGTGAAAATAGGTAAATTGTTTTTGTAGAATATATAAATGAACATAAGAGCATCTATATTAGTGGGGTTTTTTTGTGATTTTTTTATGTGTGATTAGAAAAAAAAATATGAGTGAAAAAGAAAAAAAAAACATAAATTGATTTTAACAAAAAAAAAAAAACAAATAAAATACTTTTTAGCGCGCACTGGGCCTACTCGTGACACCCACATAAGGCCGTAACGTTTGATTTATTTTTTATGTGGGTCCCACATCTCTACCATAAATCCCAAGATAATTCATAACTTTTTCTCTCTCGTTTCTCCTTCCTTCATATTAGCTTTGTATTTCTTAAAAATTGTGCATGATCTTCAAATAAACCTATGATGTAGATGCTCTAACAAAGTGAGGCCATAATTTTCTTGTTCCGTCGTTAAAAGATGGGAAATTCCTTAGTTATATTCAATGTCATGTCCGACGGGGCATGGCAGAAAAAAACAATTTTGTCGGATTGGATGTTGTGATCTGGAGTGGTAAATATAGTAAGTAGAGAGTGATGGATGGGTTGGCGGCCGGCGGATGGATCATGGACGGCAATGAAGTAAAAATTAAATTACTGTGGCGGAATTGAAGGTCATTGTAATGCGATATAGTAAATGGCCAGGCATCAATTAACATTTTACATTTGTACATTTCCTAAGCCAATACACTGTTGCCTATGTCATATAAATTAATGCTGCTCTGCTGTGCTGCACTGCACTGCACTGCGGGTTTAATTAATTGATCAGAATTGAATTGAAGATCTTATTGAATATGGCAAACACTACAGGCGGCGGCGGCGGCGGCGGCGTTTCTTCTTCTTCTTCTTCATCGATATTTCGTCTGTTACCCCACACCCCCAGTATGAATAATATTAAGGTATTATTATTATTGTTGATTAATGTTTTGTTCCATGCGGCATATGGTGATGTTCCTGCACTTTTCGTTCTTGGGGATTCGACGGTGGATGTTGGAACCAATACACTGTTGCCCAACTGCACCGTCAGAGCTGACTTTCCCAACAATGGTATTGACTTCCCCAACTCCACACCCACCGGCAGGTTCAGCAATGGTTTCAACCTTGCTGATTTTATAGGTATTAATTACTTCTATTCTATTCTATTCCTGCTTTCAATTTATTTATTGATATTTATATATGGGCGCAGCAAGGAATATGGGTCATAAGCTCAGCCCGGCGCCGTTTTTATTTCTTGAAAGCCGCAAACATGGTCTGCGAAAGGGAGCCCGTAAAGGCGTCAACTTCGCCTCCTCAGGTTCCGGCCTCCTTGACGTTACTGGTTCTACATTCGTAAGCCCTTATTAGCTTCCTTCAATTTCATTCCAAATCCACTGTTACTGAATTTAACTAGTTAATAGCATTAGCTGATGGTAGAAAAGTGTTTGGTAAATTAATTGTTATTAGTTGTTAACTGATTACGTATAAATAAGTTAATTGAACTTTTTGAATTTTAACATTTTAAAATAAACAATTAATTAATAGTGGTCAAATAAGTTGATAGGCTAACTATTTTACCAAAAAGGATCATAATATAACTAGTATATATAGATAAATAAGTCAAAATCAATTGATAGGCTAATATAGCTAGTATAGTTCGCTGGTTATCAATCCATCCTAGCTAGCTTAATTTAATTGCATATGTATGTTTAATTATTACGTACAACTACTATATATATACAATACAACCAACGTATGTATGTACAGGGAGTTCTGCCCCTGTCGGAGCAGATGAAGCAATTTGTGGCACTTTACTACAATGTTTCAGCTGTGAATGGTGAGGCCTGGCTTCAAAATTTACTTTCCAAATCATTCTTCTGCTTCAGCACCGGAAGCAACGACATCTTTTGGTATTTCGCAAATAACTATACAACGCCAGAACATGAGTTCGTTGGTCTAATGCTCCAAGAATTTAGAACCGCCATTGAGGTCAGATCACCTCACATATATATATATATATATTATTATCTATTTTGCAACTAAAACTTACTTGAAGAAAGACTCGCTCACTCACTCACTCTACGTTGCCCCAAATGGCTGGCTTCCAGACTTTGTACAGTCTTGGCGCACGAAAATTTGGGATTGTAGGCGTCTCACCAGTGGGTTGCTGTCCGGTGAAAAGGCTTCTAAACGACACACTGGGTTGTTTCCAGCCCATGAACCACTTCGCCAAAACTTTCAATTCACAACTGCTTAGTCTCATGCTCGACCTTAGCTCCGAGCTTGAAGACATCCAGTACGCATTTGGGGACGTTTACCAAATGACAATTGACTCTATGAAATATCCCGCTTTCTACAGTAAGTAACCACTATTTTAATCTGCTCACAAATATAGCACCTTAAATTTGATCTATCTTTCAGACTTCAATAACGTGGAGGCAGCATGCTGCGGACATGGAGTATTAAATGCAGAAGGGCTATGTAACTCGACGGCAAATGTATGTTTGGATCACAAGGATCATGTGTTCTGGGATTTGTATCACGCATCAGAGGCTGCAGCTGAGAAAGAAGCACTTAATCTATTTGCCGGCCCAAAGGAATATGGCATCCCAATTAACTTTGCTACCTTGCTGCACCAGACCGCACCCCAAGTTATGGTTAGGACGGACTGACTCACTACTCACTACTATACTATTCTAATATAAACTTGTGTGTATGTTGTCCATGCTTTAATTTGCCTTGATTATTCAATAAAACATGTCTTACTACTATCTGCACCAATCTCACATTATCATCTTGCAACCAAACACACTCTCATATCAATTTATATATCATCATTTGGTACTTTCCTCAATATATCAATCAAACAACAATTACTAGTAAGTTGCAAATTCAACCCACCACCATGCCAAATTATACCATGGATCAGGATTTACCTTGCATTGTAAACCCTGATCTAAAAATAATCTTCAAATTTTGTATTTATAGTTGACACATTCTCTACCTACAGTTGATAGTTTCTGTACCAATTATCAATCGAATTTTGTATTTATAGTTGACACATTTTGTACCTGTAGCTATCATATTATGTGTCAGCAAGGCATTTGTTTACATGTTCAGAAACTATTAACTGAAGGTACAGAATTTTTGTATCAAAGTTTCACAATGGAATATAAACACCCTGGTTCATGGTATAACAATTGCACCACCATTCTTAAGTTTCAATCACTTGCCTTTCACCAATGCAATGCAATTTAAGCCCCCATTCATAAAGGTAACCTCCATACTCATCCTACTTCATTCACACACAGGACAACAATAAATACCTACTCACATATTATAACCCCAAACAATTAACATGTAAACTGCCACTTACACATAAACAATCACCTCTATAAAACTCTCAGCTCCTCGTAACTAACTACTAGCACCTCAAAATTGAACGGGATAAAGCTCATGATCTAATATTGCTCTAAAGCGACATTGTGAAATTTCAAATGCTGAGAATCAAGAACTACCCCCATCAATCACTCACTTAACCAACAAGTTATATAGAGAGATAAAATGAGTTCAAACAAAAACAAAAACAAAACAAAAAAAAGGTGGGAAGAGAGGCAAAACCTCTCTGGACATTTACATCCCATCCTACCCACCATCTGACAATCATCTTCTTCTCGGTTTATGACTTATGAGCATGATCCAAACTCAACAAAGACGCTTTGGCAACTGTTTTAATATCATCCATCCAAGTTGCATATCAAATATTAAATGATTCATGCGTTAAACTGTTGAAAAACAAAAACATCACTGTTTTCTCCTATTGGCTACAGGAGAGGGAGAAAACTTTATGCATAAATTACTTACAGTTAATAACAGAATAGTAGCACTGCTCATGGAGCCAAACAGTTGAAGCTAAGTACAATAAGTACAGGAATAATGATGTAATTCACTCAGCAACCATTTAGGGCTAAACAGATTGCATCACTTAAAAAAGGACTCTTCAGACAGACAATGGCAGAAACACTATGGACATCCAAACCAGTTCACAGAACATATGATCTCACATACTTGTGAAGCTATGACCTTACATAGTAAGCCCCGAGGAAAATGGCCAGCCTTCAAAGTAAAGAATGAACTTATTATTTATCAGCAATCTGAAACAAGAAATTAAGATGAATTCAGGTATCAGTGGTTATTACATAAATCACCAGAACAGAGCTAAAAGAACACACATACACAGATGAGAGTCAAAAAAACATATCCAGAAATCATTTAAAGCACCACTTGTATATTAATGAAGGTTGGTTTGGTATATTGATGAAGTGATCACCCAGAATTTTCCTTCCTAGACCCTGAATGATATGGGGGGAGCGTTGTGAATTTGGTCAAACTCTTGTTAATGCCATTCCAAACTATTTGAAGACATTTTGTGATAATGGCTTACGGTTTTTAATTAGAAGTATTCATGAAAATTTAATTTGTAAAATAGTTTACTTATTCAGTTTTCAAAGAAGAAAAGCTCTGGGATGCACACTAGCGAGCTCCTAAAACTCATAGACTACTTTTTCTCAACCAATAAAATAGAGCTTCGGATAAAATAACCTGGGACATGATGAACACATCAAGTAAGCAAAATAAGAATTGGGGGGTGTTGGGAGAGATTCAATAAGAAAATAATACATGAAACTAATGGAGTCCATCTTAAGAAAACAAAATTTACCTGGTTAAGAGGATTGTCTGGAGATTTCTTCCATAGCTTCCAAATTAAGTCTTTGTACTGAGTGTGTGTGAGCCCTGGTTTCTCTTCTTTCAGCTTCGGAAGCTCAGCTTCCTCAAAGGCCTACACGCATTGATGAGTTCAACAATTAAACTATGTTAAGGCATACATCAAAAGTAAATTTCAGTTTTAATGCATCCCCCAATCTCCATTCGTCTTTGACACTTGGTTAAACATGAATTCATGGCTTAAGATATGCAATTTCTAGGGAATTCAGTTATGTCTTCAAAGGAATATAATTTGAATATTTAATTTTCTTAAAACACCACTGCAATTAGACCAGGTTATCTGCTAAAGCATACCTTGAAAGAAGCCTTAAGTCTCTTCTCGGGATGCTTATCCACAGGCAAATTATCTACAACTGTCATCTTAGCAAGCGCTTCATCCACTGTCCGCGCCTCAATAATGGAATCATCACGATTGGTATTTGTGACGAGCACCATCCTTTCGTACTCCTCCTCCTCCGCAACGCGGCTCTGCTTCCGCTTCTCCTCCTCGCCCTTCTTCTGCATCGCCGCCTGCTCCTCTTCCCTCCGTCTCCGCAGTTGAGCCTCGGTCATCTTCGGCACCGGAATGGAGACCCGATTAGCCTTCTTGTCCGGCTTCTGGAGAGACTTGGAGAGCTCCTTCTCCTCCTGTTCAGCGAGACGGCGGGCCTCGGCTTTCTTAGCAGCAGCCTCGGCTCGCTTCTCAGCCTCTTCCTCGCGTTTCTTTGCGGCTCGAGACTTGGCTCCCTCGGCCTGGCTCCAGTACTGATCTTCCTTCTGGCGTGCCTCCCGGTCCTTCCGTTCAGCTTCGACTGCGCCCTTCCGAGCCCTAGCTGCCTCGGCTTTACTGTTGACCCCCATTTTTTTAGGCATCTTTACCAGTTTCTGGATCCCCTCCGATCAATCTCTCCACAACTTCCGGCAAACCTACGAGTCGATTACTTGTGACGTTTCAACTTTCAAGGAATACAATATTAGAATTTAGAAACCAGTATTCCGAACAAAATACAGATTGGGCTCAGGCCCAACAAAATCAATTCTATTCATAGCCCACAGAACAGACTTTTACGGAACATTTGGTTCGTAAAAAATAAATGAGATAGAATGTAATTTAAATTTCATAAAATAAAGGGAAAATGGCACTTTTTCCCCCTATGTTATATACTTATAGCACTTTTTTCCCCTCAATTATTTATGTAAGCACATTAGCCCCCTCAATTATTTTAAAAGTGGTGGTTTTCTCCCCTAATATATTAAATTGACATTTCTACCCTTAAAGTAAACATTTTATTTATTTTACTTCTCCAACAAATTATTGCGTATATGTAGCGATTACCACGGTTCGGTTCGAACTGAACCAGACACTATAGCAATCGAATTAAAAGTTTTCAGTTATGATTCAGATCTAGAACCCAATATTTGGATTTCAATTTATTAAATTTAAGAATAAAAAAAAATAATAAAAATAAAAAAAATAAAAAAAAAAACTGGATCATGAACCGACGGTTCCGGATCCCGTTCGCGATTTTGAACCGTCTTTATTTTAAAATTTTATTTTTTATTCTAAAATAGTTTAAATTCAACAATAAATGTATTTTATTTTTTCAGTTTGGAACATGAACCGCCCATTCCAGTTCGTGATTTTAATAAACTCTAAATATCGCGTTTTGATTATAAATTGTAATTGGAATATTTTGGTTTGGTTACTATAGTATCTGGTTTGAACCAAATTATAGTAATAATTTATTGGAGAATAAAAATAAATGAAATATTTATTTTAAGGGTAAATATGTCCATTTAATATTTCAGGGGGAAAAAGAGCCACTTAAATAATTGAGGGAGAAAAAGTGCTATAAGTATATAACATAGGGGGAAAAAGTGTCATTTTCCCAAAAATAAATTACTGAAAAAAAAATATATATCAGAGAAGGAGGAAACCTCGGTTGTTATCTCCTCGTAACCATGCAGCCTATCGGGATGCCCATAGCATCGCTACTCAAGATTTCAAGAAGTTCACTAGCAGGTTGGTCAAGAATTCTTAAGCCTCTGTTGTCATCCGAAGCTTTCTTCGCCAGAAGATTTCCCACCCAATTTTGCCCTCAACTAGGGATGGATATGGATCGTGTTCGGCTTTGACCCGTGCCAATATAGGTCACTCAACAATTTTCGAGTGTTCACTTTTCAAGTCAAAAAATTTTTGGGTACTTCAGGTCGATTTCAATCGGGGTCGGTTGCAAAATTCGAATGTAGAACATTATTTTAAAAAATTCAAAATTTTAAATATTAAGTAAGAAAATTGTGGGAGTAAACCCAAAATTATAAATCCATTCAAAAAAAATTAAAATAATAAAGCATGAAAATAATTACAAGATTCTAATTGACAACCGTAAAACTAGTTAATTACAATTATCAAGAAAAAATTAAATAAAATATAGTGAAATATGAGCGGGGTAATGTCAGTCTATCTAGTAGATTTAGTTTGCTCCACATTTGCATAAGCAAAATTGAATATATGTGCCCATTGTGAAATGCCAAGCAGGAGATACTGTCCGCATGTTGGATCCACAGCTTCTTGTGGTTACGTTCCTCATCGTCTGGACATAATTGATCTGTCACACCAACTTCCCCAACTAGTCTTTGGTGGTTGGGAGTGTGTGGACGATCCGGAAAACATTCTCGAACCTTCTAGAAACCTTCCCGCTCTGATTCTACTATCTTGATGGGTTGTGAAGACTTTTGTGTTCTCATTCTTAAAATGGCATTCACAAAGCCATCCCATGGCCGAATTTTGTGAGTTGTCGCAAATCCAGATGCTACCATACGATGATGTCTCTGCCCTGTGAGGTGCTGAGGATGAACTCCCCGCACAAAGCCAGGCATGAAACAGAGCAAATGTGGCCTGAGAGCACCGCCAAAGACTTGTAGGATTGAAAAGAAAAAATAGATATTTTTGGAATGCTGAAATTGAGATTTGGGATGTCATATATTCTTGATGGTGTCGGGCTTTCGTCTAAATTAGAAATCAATAGTTGAGAACACAAAGATATAATGTAGAGAAGGAGATAGCATGAATTGACATAAATACCACATCTCAAATAGTCAACTGGCAAGATTATAGACAGAAGACAGAAATTGTCCATGTCGCAATAAGGGTGTCCAAAATGTGACAAAATTTTGTATGAAGAACTAAAATTGTCCAAGCCACAATGAATATAGGATCAAAAAGGAAATTCATTCTAATAAATATTATAACATTACTTAATTACGAATTATTTGATAACTTTCATCCCCAAACTATTATCAACACAATTAAATCATATGAGGGTTGTTTAGTCATATTAGGTTACACTCTGTTCTCAAATGGCATGAAAAAAAAAATCTTATATTAATGAAAGAAAATATTTTTTTTATGTTTAAAAAATTCAAATTGTTTTGGAAAAAAAAAAATCATCAACCAAACAAAGCATAATTCAATTTTCATTCACCTTTAAAAATTGTAATTTATTAAAAAATATTTTCTAGGGAACCAAATGTACCCTTCTATTTTTAATTTGATTAGCATAATGCAATAGCCAATAACACTTTAATGTTTTATGGTTGCATTATTGTTTGTTTGGAAGATAATGAAGGCGACCGATTCAAACTCACATTTAAATGCCTACTTTTATCACATTATATGTACTTTAAACTTAATGATTATACTATCGTTAATTGCTGGAATCAGAGTATAATTTATCAGCAAATTGTATACTAAATTATATGTTTACATCGTTAATGACTAAAAGAATACTATGCATATTTATTATTATTTATAAAACTATGTTTAGGAAAAGAAGCTTTAAAGATGCGTGTGAATGAAGGGAGTGAGAGAGTAATGATGAGTGGAATTAAATATGTCTCCATCTAAATCAATCACAAACTTCACTAATCACTAATCACTAATCACTAATCACTAATCACTTATCATGAGCTTAATTATTAATTTAAATACTCAAATCCCAATACGCACGCCAAACATGTCACCCTGCAACACACTACAGTAAATGACCAGCCGGCCTATGGCTTCACCCACATCACGGGCCGCTCTCGCCTCTCACATCTTCAACTACCAATTTACCAACCAAATTACCTAACCGCCCTTTTTATTTTTTAAGCTGCACCTCCTTCAGTTTTAAGATAACTTCCACACCTTTTCCAAAATAAAAAGAAGATAACTTCCACACCCGGTAATAAACCAACTCTTTTTTTAAATGATAAAGTACACTCTATTTGGTTTTAATTTGTCTTTGATTAAACTTTTTTTTTCTATGTATTATTGTGAGAGATGACGAATTGACAATGATCCGGTACTTACATATTGTATGAACCAATCACGAAAATAATTCCGTAACAAAGCATTAAAGGGTTATGGTTATTGGTTAAACTTCCTATAAAAAGATACGAAGTATTATATATATACTAATGCAAACTCAATTCTAAGGATTTTTCCAAGTCTTTTTACATTCATTTTCATCTTAATGGTCTGTTTGGAAAGCAGGAAAATGACTTCTGAAAAATGTTTTCTGAAAAATGAATCATTTTTCGAAAAACATTTTCCTTTCTAGTGTTTGGGTGCACAGCGGAAAAGTGTCTTTGTGTGTTTGGTTCATTTTCTGAAAAATGAGGTAGAATTGTATAATTAAACATTTTATATAATTAATTATTTTATTTAAAATAAAAATATTTATAATAATATTTATTTATTTTTGAAATCAAATAATATTAATTATTAAAAAGTATTAAAAAAAACGGTGGAAATCCATTGCCGAAACCAGAGAGGTTTCCGGCTGCGGAAACCAGAGTAGATCTCTTCCTCGTTTTTTTTTTAAAGGTTTTCGGCAGAAACCAGTGGTCTGGTTTCAAGCGGAAACTAGACCACTGGTTTCCATAGCCGGAAACCATCGTAGATCTCTTTCTCTCGTTTTTTTTTTTTTTTAAGGTTTCCGGCGGAAAGACTGGTTTTCGCCGGAAACAACAGGTCTGGTTTCCGGCGGAGACCACTGGTTTCCGCCGGAGACATTGTTTTATGGGCGGAAACCATTGTTGGAGGAGAAGTGTTGGCAGTTCTCTGTTGAATGTTGAAGGAGGAGGTGAAGTGGGAGAAGAAGCAGTGAAGGCTTGAGCATGATGTTTAGATTGGAAGATGGAAAATGACTTCCCCCCAAAAAAAGGGGAAGTCATTTTCCGGATTTTAGCTCTCATTTTCCATTGACTAGCTATCATTTTCCTTTGACCATTTCATTTTCAGCCTTCCCAAGCACCAAAAACCCGGAAAATGATTTCCAGAAATCATTTTCCTTCATTTTTCGAGTTTCCGAACAGACCCTAAATCGATCTACTTTGACACTCAATTTCTCATTCACACATTATCTATTTTTTAGCGTACAATATATATGTTAGAATTTGTTTTTTTTTTCCCTCCTTTTATCCTCTTCTCTCTTCCCTCCTCTCTCCTACACGGATATGAAAAAAACCAACAAAAAAAAAAATAAAAAATGCACACTAATGAGGTTGAGGTTGCTCTATGAACTACATTTGAAAATGCCACACCTGCCAAGAATTTCACAAATTGCCCAGTCACTTGACAACATATTACCAACTTAGTAAAGAGGTGATATACCATTTATAAAAGTTGATAATTTTATTAGTTGCCATTATTAAGTTTTGAATATAATAAATGATGAAACAAATTGACCCGGCTATTTATGAATCAATAAACTTGCATAAATTATGATGTTAGAATAATAAGACCAATGTTGCAAAAATCGTGTCTATGCGCCGCCCGGCCGCGGCGAGGAAGGCCAGAACCGGCCTCATCCGCGGCCGGCCGAACCGGTGATTTTTTATTTTATTATTTTTCTTTTTTTTTAGGGTTTAGGTTAAAAACTTTGCGAAGGCATAACTTTTGACTCGGTTGTTCATTTTGGACAAT